AATCCTACTTCCGTAGTGATACTGCCTCGGAAACCCAAGGAGGGGTTGCTATGAGTCGGGTTTGACTCGACGGCACACAACAACAACATATATATAAAACGATATATATATATATATATATATATATAAAATGATAATCTCATATACAGCAAAAATACGCAGAGTGATTTTGTGCTATAACAAATAGATTGTTGCTATGTGCCATTGAGTCATCTCTGACTCACAGCAACCCCACCCTGGGTTTCCAAGGTAGTATATCTCTACAGGAGTAGACTGCCCAATCTTCCCTCCAAGGAGTGGCTGGTGGGTTTGAACCACCAACCATGTGGTTAGCAATCAAGTGCCTTAGGCACTACGCCACCAGAGCCCCCAACAAATAATTTAGTAGTTATTTATTTCAAAATGTGTTCTATGAGAAATTTGAGAAGGTAGAGTTTATTTCTACATTAGTCCTTGAAAATAGTGAAATCATAGCACCATACCTAGTTTAGTAATCTCCCATTTGTTTGGCATTTTTTTAATGTCATCAACAAATTTGGAACTAAATTCTTCATATTTTTGATAATGCTCAGCCTTACACTGTCCAATATGGTAATCGTTAGCTATGTATATCTATTGAGCAATATATTAAAAATATTATTTCAACGTTTAATCTGTATAAAAATTATTAGTAAGATATTTTATATTCTTTTTCCATGTAAATGTTTGAAATATGGTTTGTGTTCTACACTTACATCTCAACTTGCTCTAGCCATATTTCACTTGCTCAACTAAAAAAAAAAAAAGACTGAAAGTATTTAGTCTCTAAATGAGTTCTTAAACAATTCATGCAGTATTAGATAACTGTTTGGACAAACATAAATATGAATACTATGAAACAAAAACAGAATTTAAATTAACTAAATCTACAGTTATTTAGTTAGGATGGTATTCACTAAACTGGTAAAGACCAAAGAACTGATGACATTAAGAAAAATATGGAAATAGCAGTGAGGTTGATAGAATCTTGTTTTACACCACAACCAGAGTCATGAAAATCCATCTCATTTAATAGCTAGCCCTGACTGCTAAGAATCTGCAAAAGAAACACTAAATAAAAGCAGAAGTGTAATACAAGAATGAATGATATCAGATATTCTGGTAAATGAATTCTTGGCTTCAGTAATCCCAATACAAAATATCAACACTCCTGATTAGGCACAGATTATCCCTTGAAAGTTATGGCCTGAGTGCCTGAACACTGACAAAAAAATGGAAGAGATTTCTTTTTCTATCAAATTAATACTTCCCACAATAACAGCAGTCCATTAGCAAGCCATGAATCACCAGAAAGGGTGCGTCCTGCACAGCTAAAACCAATCCTGGAAGACTAAAAAGCCAACAGGGAGGTAACAGATGGCCTACAAATCAGTTTATGAGATTAGTACCTTTGGGTATGTTGTTGTTGTTTGCCATCGAGTCGGCCCTGACTCATAGTGACCCCTCCTTGGGTTTCCGAGGCAGTATCACTACGGAAGTAGGATTGCCCAACCTTCTTTCCGAGGAGTGACTGGTGGGTTTGAACCGCCAGCCTTCTGATGAGTAGTCAAGTGCCTTAGGCACTATGCTACTAGAGCACCTTTGGGTATATCCTTTTCCAATTGTACTTATGGAGAAGGTCTATTTAGCAGTGACAATAGAAGCAAATGACAAAGTGGTAATGAGAAAGTGTCCATTAAACTGAAAGTAAAATATTACCAGAATTGGGGAATTAAAGAGAGTACAGCTGTTGAAGTAGCAAATATAAAGTGATGAGCCTGAAAGAAAAAATTAGATAGAAGCGTGCATGCACGCGCGCGCACACACACACATACACACACATAAAATTTTAAAATAAAAGTTTATAGAGAAATGGTCCCAAGATACAGAATTTAGTTTCTCAGTTAATTGGAATAATTGGAATATAAGTCTTCAAAATAAGAGAGAGAATAGTAAGATTTAACAGGAATATTTAAGTATTTAAAGAATGTAAATATCTGAATCAAAATAAATTTGAGATTCAAATTTCTATTGTTAAAGTCTTTTCAGAGTTAAAGCTACATAATTATCTAGCTATTGTAAAACAAGAAAAAACACACTAGTAAAATTCTACTTAAACTTACTGGAGAGGAGGAAAAGTGGTTTGAGAAGGAAAACTCTCTTTTGGTAGAAGAGAAAATAAACAGTAAGGAAACCACTTAAAAAATTACAGAAAGGTGTATATAAAGTGTTTTAGTACCCTGCACATCTCTGCCATATAGAAACAGCTACATCCCATGTAGCAACTATCTATTTCTGAGGATTTTATTCTGAGGAGTCTAATTTTAAAAATCAAGTTAAACTTTCTCTAACTGATCTTACAATTCTAAAATTTTATGACCAAAGTCAAGATGGTATTCCTATTTTCAAAAAAAAAAAAAAAAATCAAACTAATCACCGCAAGCAATGATATTATTATAACACTTAAAATTCCCAATTACTACTATGACTAAACAATTCTTACCATTTGACACCTTGCCATTTTATAAAAACACTTCAGAAAGCAGTGATTTTGTAAAATAGTAAGTAATTCTTAGCGATAGTATGTTCACTTTGCCACGTAGTTTCATTTAAACCTCACTTTAAAAGAACTGAGAAGCTCAGCCCTAAAGGGTAGAAGCCACTAGTTAAAATAAGCACAGGAAGAATTTCCTTCATTTCCTGAATATTAATAATATAATTCTAAGATTTCTCTATGAAACTAAAGAAATAAATACTAACTTGAAAAAAAAAATATTCCCATGAAAGTTACCAATCAGTAAAAAAATCAAAATGAGGTATTTCCCAGCATGAGTAATTCCCTAATTTAGATGCTTGTTGTTGTTGTTGTTATGTGCTGTCAAGCGGACCCGACTCATAGCGACCCCTCCTTGGGCTTCTGAGGCAGTACCACTATGGAAGTAGATTGCCCCATCTTCCTTCTGAGGAGTGGCTGGCGGGTTTGAACCACCAAGCCTACTGGTTACTGGTTAGCAGTCAAGTGCCTTAGGCACTATGCTACCAGAGCTCCTAATTTAGATGCTTAAGAGGTTAAAAATATATGCAATGACTAAGGAAGGTTGGGCAATCCTACTTCTGTAGAGATACTGCCTGGGAAACCCAAGGAGGGGTCGCTATGAGTCTGGCTGACTCAACGGCACATAATAGCAACAACAGTATCAATCAATAAATATTAGAAGGGAAAAACAAATCTGTGTTTCTGTATATCCAAAATTATACTATTTTTCAAAGATCTGGTGTTAGTTTGATATAACTAAACGTTTTAGAGTGTTTCTATTGTGTTGTTGTTATTTGCCCTTGAGTCGGACCTGACTCACAGCAACCCCTCCTTGGGTTTCCGAGGCAGTATCGCTACGAAGTAGATTGCCCAACCTTCCTTCTGAGGAGTGGCTGGTGGGTTTGAACTGCCAGCCTTCTGGTTAGCAGTCAAGTGCCTTAGGCACTATGCTACCAGAGCTCCCAGTGTTTCTATTAGAAACTATAATTAAATAGGTTGCATTTTATATTCCAACTAAGTTGCAATTCCAAATAAGATAACGTCCTTCAAGTTTTAAAAATTACATTCTTCATTAACAGCATTAAAGAAAAAAACAAGTCAACATCATAACATATGTAAGTTCAACCTGAGGATAGTGGCCCTTCAAACCAAAACCCAAACTCACTGCTGTTGAGTTGGATCTGACTCATAGTGATCCCTCCCTGAGTTTCCAAGGCATTATCACTACAGAAGTAGATTGCCCAATCTTCCTCCCGAAGAGTGGCTGGTGGGTTTGAACCACCAGCCTTCTGGTTAGCAGTCAAATGGCTTAGGTACTACGCCACCAGAGCGCCACACATACTGTTAACGTCATTAAAATCACCCTACCTGTTTGGACCGAGGTCTACCAGGAGAAAACTTTCTTTTGGTAATAGCTGGTTTACCCATGCCAATTTTTGGAGTGACTGAGATATAAGTTGTTGGCATGATGTGTCCAGCAGAAGAATTGAGAGTTGATGGGTAACTATGATGCAACATGTCATGGGAAGGCAAGTCTGAAGAATGAGTTGCCTTGCTTATGTCTACTGCTGATGAAAACGATGACTCTGTCTCAGATGGTAAATTTAAAGATCTCTCTCCTTGGCATGAACTATCTTTTACATAACCCTCAATTGCAGGAGTCATTTCAAATTCCATAAACCCAGTGGAAGATTCAGAATTTCCTTTCTGTTCCATTTCTTCTTGTAACCTTTCTGTAGACAACTGTTCTTTAGAACATAAAGAAGTACTTTCCTCACATGGGGACATTAAGGTTTCTGGTGGAACAGAGACAGATTCAATTGTTAATTTTGGAGCCCTTAATTCTTCTGGGGATACCTCCATTTTAGGTTCCTCTGACAACTGTAGTTCTTCTTGCTGCACAACGTCCTGTTGTGCAATGACTTTGATGTTTTCTGTCAGTTCCATTTCATTTTCACTTTGATGTTCATCACATATATGTACCACTTTAGAAGACAGTTCCAGTTTTTCACTATCAACTTCATGAGAAAACTTTTTTTGCAATTCATGATTCATTTTATTTTCAGATGATTCTATAAAAGTTGAAATATTCATTGTATTAATACACATACACATTTTATAATTTCTAACTATGACTAAGTAAAAGACATTTATAATATATCAATCACTCCTGATGCTTTGTAGCTTAATAACAGATTGGAAGAAAAGAAGGGGAAGGGCAGTTTCAAAATACTCCTTTGGTTAAATCCTGGCTTGAATCACAAAGTATTCATCAAGAAGGACTATTTCTGGTAAGAGTACTAAGATAAATTAATCATTAACATAATTCTATTACACATATATAATACAGCTTGAATGATTACAAAAGGATAGAAAATTATGTAAGTGAAATTATCCTCATTTCACAGCTAGGAAAATGAGGTTCACTGATACCATGTGAAGTGTTCACACTAAAAAAGTGAAGACTGGTCTAGAATACACAGGTATTTTATAATATAAGAGTGTAATAAAGATTCTGTAAATTCAAATGAGTAACAAGCAAAAATAGAAAAGATTTACTAACTAGAAAAACTTATTTTGTTTACCTGTACCCACCAATGCACTCAAAACATTTTTTGGACATAATCTTTGCCCTTCATCATCATCTAAAACCTAAAGAGACTCATCCTAGCAAGTCATTAAACTTCATTAGATATCAGAAATATATATATATATACAGACACTAGTTGGTAAATTTTGTATTAGTGTACAAGATTTAACCCAATCTTACTTAAGAGCAGAGTTAGGGGTCCATTGACATGTACTCTATAAAGAGGCTCTATAAAGTAAGACCACTGAAGACAAAAAGCATTTACTCTAAATTCTGTCAGGATAATATTTAAGTTATATTATAGAAACTCTAGTTTCCTCATTTACTATTTACCACCAGTAACTATATATTTAACTGTCTTCTGATATCAAACCACATAACTGACAATACTAAGTATTTTTAATCACTTAAATGTTTCAAAAACATTTAATAGAAGTAAATGATAAAAAATGGATTTTATACCATATAGATGGATAGAAATACATGTAAAATGAGAAAATACTTAAGGGTTTAAAACCAAAAGTATCACCATTTAAGTGACTCAAAACAAACTTATTATGATGCCATATGAAGCCTAAATTATGTGCTAATAGAGGCCAACAACTTAAAAGTCTCACTGGCAGAGAGGAACATGTGCATCCCCATATAAACCACAAGTAGATTCTTCCTGTTCTGTTTTACATAGGAAGTCTTAGAACAAATACATAAACATGATCTATATCCCAAGCAGTTCAATTACTTTTAGTTATTAGACTCTTATATAATGATAACGTAATTCAAAATATTAAAAATTACTCGATACAGCAACTTTTTATAGAAATGCTAAACTTGCTTAGAATCCATTACCAATACTTTTCAAGGAAGAAATTACAGGACTAAAAGGTTCAGTTACTGTTATGTGTGTTTAAAAAACAAAAACAAAACACCTAAACTTAACTGCCATCACATGGATTCCGACTCATAGCCACCTTTAGGACAGAGTAGAACTGCCCTATAGGGTTTCCAAGGTTGTAAATCTTTACAGCAGATGGCCTCATCTTTTCCTGTGGAGTGGCTGATGGGTTCAAACCACCAACCTTTAGGTCAGCAGCTGAATGTGTTAACCACTACGCCACCAGAGTGCCTCATAGCAACTGGAAAATATCCTAACTATCCTAACTGAAATAATTTGAAAAAGTTCACGTAAAAGACAATGAGTCAAATCTTCATAGCAACCACAAAGGTAGTACCCTGTAAACTGATCAAATTAGACAATATGAGCATACAGCTTACCAGAAATGAGAAGACAATCTGTGGCAAGACTTTCTGGTGCTTTCTGCTGCTCTTCAATGTGGACTTCAACTGTTGAGAATAATACATGATGGAATCTATAGCACACAGTCAAAATTCCTCTAACCCTACTCCCTCAACAGTAATTTGAGTAAGAGTTTATTTCACTATCAAATGCCAATTTCCAACGTAAGCACAAATCTTACTACCATTATTTATTAGTAAGCAGGGTAAGAAGACAAAGTTAGGACTCTTGTTATGCACTATAATATAATTTATTATGATAGTTTTGTTTTATTTTTCTTCACTTTACATCATCATGAAGTATACCTTCAGTGAGAGCTGCTAAATGTAAATATTTTTTAAAAAAAACCCTCATCCTTTTAATGTACATACTTAATTTATAAAACATATAATTTCATACACAATCCTAAAGACTTTCATATGAAATGAGAATTAAATTTATTGACAAGGTTTTTTCGACTAGTCTCTTGTTAATTCTATATTCTCATGCACAGTAATAGCTTCTATATAGGTACTATATACTACCTACAGGTACTATATAGTACTATACTCACTGTCATGAGTCGAATCCGACTCATAGCGACCCCTCCTTGGGTTTCCAAGGCAGTATCACTACAGAGGAAGATTGCTCAATCGTCATTCTGAGGAGTGGCTGGTGGGTTTGAACTGACAGCCTTCTGGTTACCAGAATGCCTTAGGCACTACGCCACCATAGCTCCTATACAGATTGTTGTTGTTGTTATTTGCCATCGAGTCGGCCTCGACTCATAGCGACCCCTCCTTGGGTTTCCAAGGCAGTATCACTACGGAAGTAGGAATGCCCAACCTTCCTTCCGAGGAGTGGCTGGTGGGTTTGAACCGCCAGCCTTCTGGTTAGCAGTCAAGTGCCTTAGCCACTATGCTACCAGAGAAAAACCTTAACTGAAATTACTGAAATAACACTCAAAAGGACAATGAGATTACCTAAAACAATAATTTTTCTTTAACTCCATATGAAACACCTCACATTCAGCAACAGCTGTACTTAGTAGTTATAAATATATAAATAAAGAAGAAGAAAAAACCCAAACTGCTTTTTAATTAAAATCATTTGATCCCTAAACAAAGTATGTAGTTATGATTAAGCTAGAGTACAGCATAACTACAAATCTATAATTGCCTTTTCTCTTATAAATTTCTCCCTAGGCTATTAGTTATACTAAAACGTTCCTTTTTTAAACAATTTCCTGTGTTACTATATCTAATTTTCATTTAGGTAACTATAGTTTACCAAAAACCAAACTCACTGTCATTGAGTCGGATCAAACTCATAGTGACCCTTCCTTGGGTTTCTGAGGCGGTATCACTACAGAAGTAATTGCCTAATATTCCTTCCAAAGAGTGCCTGGTGGGTTTGAACCATCAGCTTCCTGGTTAGTAGTCAAATGCCTTAGGCACTATGCCACCAGAGTTCTTAACTATAGTTCAGATACACAAATATATAGTATAGATGCACATATATTCACTACATATTTCTTATTTCTTCAAAAAATAGAGTACAACCATTATCACAAGCATTCTTACCATCTGGAACAATTCCAGGTGTGAACTCTTGACCTTTGACATCTTTACTAACTGCTTGCTCCAGAAATATTCTATGGTTTTCAGGTCCTTCAACTTCCATTTCATTGTGATAATCTTAACAGAAAATAATGTATACATTCTCTAGATCAGAATGAGCTGTTCTGTTGTTGTGAACTAAGTCAACAGTTTTATCACCAAATATATCGTAAGTTTTAATTTTTCTGTTGTAACCATATATGTACATTAGAAAAAAAAAATAAACCATGAAAAGTAAAATGTACTAAAAAATAACTGGCACTTTACAAGGGACTTCTGGTAAGAAGGCAGACTACGCAGACAAGCTACACAGACCTTCTTCAACAAAGAAAACAGAAAGCAATTGACACAGATACAGAAGATAATCCTGGAGTCCTGAGCTCGGAAAGGAAGGATACAGAAATGTAATCCATTACTAGAAGAAATGTAATCCAACTAATAGAACCTAAATGAAAACTGTGAATAAGGAGACAAACAGAGGTGTGGACTGTCAGCTATCCTGATGGCACAGACAGTTTGAATATTTCCAAGTGGTGTTAGGACCTGAGAATTAACCTAAAAATTACCCATGATCGCCAATGGCTACATGGACAACTGTGCTGGTGGCTGATGAGTAAAAAGGGAAACAAGCAAAGGAGGAGACAAACTGAGTTGTGGACTTTCGTCTGTCTGAATATTTAGAAGCGGTGGCCATTTTGGATATTTAAAGCGACAACATTCTTATTCACATTCCAGGGACCTAAGAATAGGTTCTACCTGCCAAGAGCAGCATGGATATATGGGAGGCTGAGGACTGTAATGGAGACAGGTGGTGAGTGAATAAGTGTTGCCAATGAGTGAATAGAGGAGCATAGTACCCCACTTACTCAGATAAATCCAAACAAAGCAAAGCAAACAAAAATCTTGGGTGAATCACTCTAACACACAATCAGCAATGAAATATAAACACAAAAATATTATAATGTCTCGGATACAAAAGACCATCACATTCACACAAAAAGCAAGATAAAGCAGCAGAAATAAAGGACCAACATACAGACCCAGAGGACATCTCAGAGTAAGGAGCAGCATTAAAACTCCCTGATAAGGAATTCAAAAGAATTATATTTAGGTACCATTGAACTGAGAGACAGATAAAGGAAAACAATGAGTGAGGAAAACATACAGAAAACCCTAGAATAATTTCAGAAGACAAGACAAGAACAAAATGACAAAATGAAAAATCAGAAATAATAAAAAATCTATAGATAGAAATCCAGAAGATTAATACTAGATTCTCAGAAATAGATAACACATGGAACAGGCAAAATAGTAGAACTGAATCAATGGAAGAAAGAATTAGTGAGACTGAAGGAAGACAAATACCTCAATACCTCTTTGGAAAGGGATCAATCAGAAAAAAGATCAAAACAAAATGAAGAAAGCCTAAGGTTCATGTGGGATATCATCAAAAGGAATAACCTATGTGTTGTTGGAATTCCAGAACAGGAAGATTATAAAACCACAGGAAAAACTGTTGAAAATTTGCTGGAAGAGAACTTCCCTGATATAATGAAAGATGAGAATATATCTATTCAAGAAGTCCAATGAACCCCAACCAGGACAGACCCAAAAGAAAATCAGCAAGACATATCATCATCAAACTAACCAAAACCAACAACAAGGAAAAGAATCCTGAAAGCAGCATGGGAAAAATGAAGCAACCAATCAGACTCAGATCAGAAACCATGCAGGCAAGAAAGCGCTCTCTCTCTCTCTCTCTTTCTATATATATATATCACTAAAAGAAAAAAATTTCCAACAAAGAATTATATACCCAGTACAACTGTCCCTCAATTATGATGGTGAAATTAGGACATTTCCAGATAAGCAGAAATTAGAGGAATTTTTTAAAACCAGACCAACCTTACAAGAGATGCTAATGGAAGTCCTTTGGCCAGAGAATCAACAACAGCAAACAACCACCGACCATTAACACACGAGGACATAACCCAGAAATCAACCCAGTTATAAAGTATCCAAAGTAAATAAACTTCAAAAATTGTTAAGAGGGAACCAAAGATATCAACTGGCAAAGGAGGACAACTACAAAATAAAAAGAGGGAAAAAATAGTGTAGTTACAGAACTTCTAAATGGTGAGGAAGTTAAAAGATAGACTTCCTCAAGTCTTACAAGATAGAACCAACTGTTCTAAACTTGTGAAGAAAATGATAAATCACAAGGTAACCTCAAAGAAAAGTGGCAAAACTTCACTTAAAAATAAAAAAGAGGACAAGTACAAATATTTATCAAATTCTAAAACAACACCAACGAAGGAAGTGATAACAATTCATAAACAAAACAAGCTCAGCAAAGAAAATTAAATGGAACAAAGAAATGAGCAACACCACGAAGTAACACAAAACAAAATGACAGCAACAAATTCACACTTGTGGATAACTACTTGCCCTTACAGACATCTACAGAGCACTTCACCCAACAATAGCACAATATATGTTCTTTCCAGTGCACATGGAACATTCTTCAGGAGAGACCATATATTAAGCCACAAAGTAAACCTTCATCAATTTTGAAACACTGAAATACTACAAAGCATCTTCTCAGATCACAATGCTATGAAACTAGAAATCAACAAATGGGAAGATCGACAGAAAAAGCGCAAAAATATGGAAACTGAATGACACCCTAGTTAAGAATGGTAATTGTTGTTGTTATTGTTCTGTGCCATTGAGCCGGACCCGACTCATAGCGACCCCTCCTTGGGTTTCCAAGGCAGTATCACTACAGAAGTAGATTACCCTATCTTCCTTCTGAGGAGTGTCTGGTGGGTTTAAACCACCACCAGCCTTCTGGTTCAAGTGCCTTAGGCACTAGGAATAAATAAATAAATAAATAAATTCCTTGAATCAAATGAGAATGAAAACACAACATACCAAAATCTTTGGGACACAGGAAAAGCAGTGATCACAGGCCAATATATAGCAATAAATGCACACATTAAAAAAGAACAAAGAGCCAAATTCAACATCTGAACCCAACAGCTCCAACAATTAGGAAAAGAGCAGCAAAACAAAAACAAAACAAATAAAACCAGCCTACAATCATCAGAAGAAAAGAATAAAGATTTGAAGAGAGATAAACGAAACAAACTAGAAAGACAGTAGAAAAAAACTAACAAGACTAGAAGTTGGTTTCTTGAAAAGATTAATAAAATTGACAAATCACTGGCAAATTTAACAAAAGAGGAAGAGAATACAAATAACACGAACAAGAAATGAATTTATTTGGCGACATCACAAAAGAACCAACTAAAATAAAAAGGGTAATATAGGACACTATAAGAACTGTATTTTAACAAATTTGAAAATTTAGATGAAATGGACAGATTTCTAGTACACACACAGCCTGAGGTAGAAAATTTAAACAGACCCAAAACAAAAGAAGAAAATAAACAGGTCATAAAAAATAATTACCAGGAAAAAAAAAAAAAAAGCTCTGGCTTAGATGGTTTCACTGAAGAATTCTACCAAATGTTCAGAGAAGAATGACACCAATCCTACTTAAACTATTTCGAAACATAAGAAAGGATGGAATCCTCCCAAATTCATTTTATGATGCAAGTATAACCTTGATACCAAAACCAGGCAAAGACATCACTCAAAAGGAAAACTACAGACCAATATCCCTCATGAATATAGATGCAAAAATCTTCAACAAAATCCTAGCCAATAGACTCCAACAGTATATCAAAAAAATAATTCATGATGACCAAGTGGAAGTTCATGTCAGGTACACAAGGATGGTTCAACATTAGAAAAACAATCAAAGTCATCCACCACATAAATAAAACAAAGGAGAAGAACCAAAACAAAGGAGAAGAACCACATGATCATATCCATTGATGCAGAAAAGGCATCTGATAAAATCCAACACCCATTCCTGATCCAATCTCTTAGCAAAATAGAAATACAAAGGATATTCCTCAACATAATAAAGGGCATCTATGCAAAACCAACAATATTCTCAATGAAGAGGGACTGAAACCATTCCCCTTGCAAACAGGAACCAGACAAGGATGCCCTCTATCACGACTTCTATTCAACACTGTATTGGAAGTCCTAATCAGGGCAATAAGGCAAGAAAGGGAAATCAAAGGCATCTAAATTGGTAAGGAAAAAGTCAAACTACCCCTATTGCTGATGATATGATCCTATACCTAGAAAACCCAAAAGTCTCAGTAAAAAAATCTACTTGTTGTTGTTGTTGTTGTTATGTGCCGTCGAGTCAGCCCTGACTCATAGCGACCCCTCCTTGGGTTTCCGAGGCAGTATCACTACGG